TTTATTTAATGTCTTTTTTAACTCATTTTTTATTCTTTGTATTAAATAAAAGGACCAAAAAAGTATTAATAAAAAAAATCAAATATAGATTACGTTCCTAATATTTAAAAAAAAAATTGAATTATCAATCCAAGGTTAAGAAATCTTCTTAGTAATAAACGACAAACATATATACATTTGAATAAAATAAAATACGATTCTAAAAAAAAGAATAAAATTTGATTCAACGAGCTGATTCAAATTCTCGAGAACATTCAATAAGTAATTATTAAAGTATGCATTTATCATTATCGCCAAATAAATGTATACTTTAATTTTATGAACCGGAAAAAGCAAGCATTTATAGTGAATAATAATAATAATAATTTAAAAGGTAGTAGCCCAATAACTAGTTAAGTAGCCCTTTCAAAAAGTGAAGAAAGAAGTTGAAAGAGAAGCAGTGAAGGACAATAAACAACAGAGAGAGAGTACGTTGGGATTCAATTAAAGCAAGGAATCATAGAGTTTGAAAGTAGTAAATAATTACTAACGTGGATCAATTAAAATGAGATTGTTCCAAGTTATCCTAATATGAATTTGAAAGAAGAATTTTGTTAGTTCTATCGTATTCCAACATTAATATTACAGTTTTTGCAGATGAGTTATTAATATTTTACAGTTAGGAGAAACACAAAGAGTGGCATTATTAGAGTTAGAATTGCATAGATGAATTTCCAGAAATGGGAGTTTTAGGGCTACAATATTAATGGTGGCAGATTGATAATTGATTGTACCCATCATAGGACCCGTGAAGCCCATGCCCCTCACAAGTCACAACTGAGCCTGTAGTGTTCATACATAAATAAATAATATCAATAATCATAATGTGACGTGAAACTATGATACTCTCCATGATGCCCACATATTAAATTTTTTTTCATAACAAGATCATACATTAGGGCCCCAGAGAGCGGAGAGTAATGATTATGTATTAATGTTATAGTATTATAGAGTGGAAGAACATTTTTAGTCACATTTTTTCAGCACTAATTTAGTAATTTCACTTTGGGTCATCACCAAGTGCAACCACTAGCTCCCTCTACCAGCAATTTTAAAATAGATCCATTTATTTTTATTTAAATCATCATTTATTAATCGTTGAAATTATTTTTATTTGTACAACTTTTGTTTAATAAAAGCTTAATTATTTTTATTATGTGTTATATTATTAATTGATGTATTGATAATATATATTAGTATTTTACATTTGATTAAATTATTTGTTACTTTGTTAGTATACTACAAGTTACTCATAATTGGAGACAAATTTACTCTTGGGGGACAGGTGCAATTTCTTTCACAAACTTTTAATTTTTTCTTGATGAAATATTGGTATATATTTTTTGACTAGGAAATATTGATATGATTGAAAAATAGTAATAATAATTCCTTAACTATAAGAAAGATAAACCGCAAATATTTTTACTCTTGAATTATAATTATGATTTAACATTTGAAAAGTGTTATAATATGAATAAAAATTACATTAAACATCATTTATTGCCATAACACACAAGGGGGTGGAAGCAGGTTGAATTAAACTTCACAAGCCTTGAGTCTAACTTAATACTTTAATACAAAGCACAAGTTTGGTGTGTTTAGCTTATGCATCTCATCGTTAAAGATCTAATTCAGCTCTTTAAAAGTCTAGTCAAACTCAAAAAAGACTATTTAAAAGTCTAATAATCTACTCTACTGTACGTAATAACATTATTATCATGTTTTTAAATATACTTAAATGAGCCAAACTATTAGACTTAAAAACTATTAGATAACTTGAAACATAGCCTTTTTGACTAAAATATGTTATATAAAACATTTTGACTTAATCTATTATTAGTAAGTGGGCTTAGTCTGACCTAAAACTAATATGGACCATGTCATCATAGGCTTTAGACTAATGGCCTGAATTATTTGTATTCCCCCCAACCCAACCCAACACACAAATCCACCAGCTGTTTAATATATTAGTTAAAATAAACACAATTAAAGTCATTTTAAGTATTATATATATATATATATATATATATATATATTA